CCCCACACATGCATTTCCCTCAGGTTTCCTGATCCTTCCCTGGGTCGACAGGGTTCTGGAAACTTCTCTAGGGCCCAGGGCTAGGGCTTCCTTAAGGACCTCATGGCCCTGCCTCCTCCTTGGTCTCTCACGGGATGTTTCCTTCCCGCAGGTGAGAGAGGAGGGAGCTATGCTCAGGCTGCCAGTGAGTATGGGGGGGATGACCCCTGAGACCTTGTGACAGTGCAGACAGGGGCCATGCCCCCCCCCCTTCGCCCATAGTTCCTCCTGGTCTCCTGCCCTGGGGCTCTGACCCCGTCCTGGTGTGTGTCCCCCAGGCAGTGACAGCTCCCAGGGCTCTGATGTGTCTCTCTCGGCTTCTAGAGGTGAGACCCTGCCATGGGGAGGGATGGGCATAGGGGAGGACTGGGTGGTGGGGAGTCTGTGGGACACTGTGAGCATGAAGTGGACTCTGAGAATGTCACCAGTTACAGCCACTGACCTGAGTCTGTTCATGATGCTTGTCCTCCACAGCGTGAGGCCGCTGCCTTGTGGGGACCGAGTGATGGAAGATATGTTCACGCTTCCAATTCCCGACTCAAGAACCTCTGATTGGGGGGCTGGCCCAGCCCTGCACCCCACACTTTCCTGTCAGCAAAGGCGGGCTGTCCCCTCCCCATCCCTGCCTTTACTCCCTGGGGCTGTGAGCTGCAACTTCCTGCTCCGTATTGAAATGAGACTGAGGATTGACCTGGTGGTTTTTTTGTGTTTTTTTTTTTTAATACTTTTATTGATTTCAGAGAGGAAGGGAGAGGGAGAGAGAGATAGAAACATCAATGATGAGAGAGACTCATTGATCGGTTGCCTCCTGAACGCCCCCACCGGGGATCAAGCCTGCAACCCAGGCACGTGCCCTGACTGGGAATCGAACCCAGGACCTCTTGGTCCATGGGGCGACGCTCAACCCACTGAGCCACCATAGCCGGGCTGACCTGGTTTTTTTTAATTCTTGCCGTGACTGGTGATGGGTAATTAAAGGAGATCCTTTAATTAAGTATTTTCTCTGAGGAAATAAATGGAAGCACCAAGGATTCTGCAGATTCCTGTGTATTTTGTGCTCTTTGCAGGGGGGACTGGAGGGGCTGTGAGACAGGAGTGAGGTCAGTGCCTGTGCCCAGGTGGTGCTCAGTGCATGGTGGGCTTTGACGTGGCCACTCCTCGGCCGGGTCACCTCTCTGCTCCTCTGACCTTGTCCCTCAGTGGAACCCTGTCCCACCAGGACCTGTGGTCACAGGGACTCACATCCCCCAGGTCTTGTCACTTCTAATGCAGCGCATCTCCAGGACCCTCGTCATCCTAGGCTCAAGTCTGGGTCTGGCCCTCAGAACCTGTCTTCTGGGTGTTTGTTGTTTCTTTGCTTTTGTGGATATTATGCCTGTTACTGTGTTTGTGTAGGAGTTTTGATTGAATTCTCTGGGTGTCCCCGTCTCACAGGATCAGGGCTCATTTTTGTCGTCATTGTCCCGCAGGCCCAGGGGTCCCTGCACACGGGACTGTGGTGTGGAGAGATGCATTTTCAGGCTCCTCCAGCTCTCACAGCCATACCAGTGGTGACTAAGTGATGGGATGGATATGTTAACGACTCACATCGTGGTCATCAATTCACAATATATTCATATATCAAGTCATTACACAATGTTCCATGTCCATGACACCCCGATACATCTGGAGGGGAAATAACATGGAACCAACACAAACCAAAGAAAAAAACAAGGCAAGTAGGAATAGCATGGGAGATGCTGTCAGAGTGTGTAGACGTGTGGACACAATGTCCATGATACCTTGACCCGGGAGCCCCTGCAGTACCCTCAGCCCCGCCCTCAATTCCTACTTAGACCCCGAACCTGACTCAGGCTCATTGCTTCCAGGGCCACCCCGACAGGCCATGGCGGATCACATCAGGGCTGCAGAAAGATGGACTGGTCGGTTCCAGGAGGGACAGTCCGGCGGCAGTGAGCCAGGAAAGGAGGCTGCGTATCTCCCAGCAGCTCTGTGGGTCTGAGTCCTGGATTGGTCCTTCCTGCTGCCTCCTCCGGGAAGGCTTCCTGGGTTGGCCCTTTACCCAGGGCGTTGTATCCCCAGAGGGGGGCGGGTTCTGGGAGCTGCATGCGCTGTGCTGTCTCCATGGACACCCAGGAGCCTGGGTCTGCGCTGAGCGATGGGGAGTCCCAGAGACGCGGTCAGGTGACTCAGAACAGGAGCCTTTCCCTGTGGAGGGGGAAGGGGTTTCTCTCACAAACAGTCATCTCCTAACCAAGTCGCCACTTGCCTGGGAGCTGCCCTGCTCTCAGTCTCACAGCTAAAGGCCTGGTGGAGGGGATGCAGCTTGAGAAATCCAGCAAAGGTGGGCTGGGCCCCCCCCCCCCATCACTCTTGTTACTCCCTGGTGCTCTGACCTACAACATCTCTCTCCCGTATTGAAATGAGACTCTGATGTGACTTTGTTCATTGCTTGCCATGAAGCGTTGATGGGTTCATTAAAGGAGAAGATCCTAAAGTTTGACAGGAAATAATGGAAGCGCTGAGAACTTCGCAGGCCCCGTGTGTTAGCAGTGCTGAGCCTGTGCCAGGGGGGACGGGAGGGGCTGTGAGGACTTAGCGTGTCCAGGGCCTGTGCCTGGTCAGCGCTCAATGCATCGCGAGGTTTGGTGTGGTCACTCCCTGGCCAGGTCACCTCTCTGCTCCTCTGACCTTGTCCCTCAGTGGAACCCTGTCCCAACAGGACCTGTGGTCACAGGGACTCACATCCCCCAGGCCTTGTCATGTGTCCTAATGCAGCGCATCTCCTGGACCCTGGACAGCGAGGCCTTCCTGGGGCAGGTCAGTCTGGGCTCAGGCCTGGGTCCCACCCTCCGCCCTCAACTCCTGGGTGTTTGTGGTTTGTTTGCTTTCGTAGATATCATGCCTGTTCCTGTTTTCATGGGTGAATTTTGGTCTCATTCTCTGGGTGTC